TGTGGGTTAAACTCCTCAGAGGCAAAAGGGGAGCTTTGGTCCTTGAATTGCTTTTACTTTAGGATTCTTTCCTATCTTGGTTTACAGAAAACTCTACTGTCAGCTACACTTCGTGTGCAAGAGAAATTTCTCCCTTGAGAAATCTGGCTGGACCAAGACTCCTAAAGCTGCCTCACATCCCCAGCCTGGAGCATCCCACTCTGCTGGAGCAGCTCAGGAGCCCACGGACAGCAGCAAACACCAGAGCTGTGGGGCAGACCAAGGTCCAGCTCTGTCTCAGGCCACAGAACTTGAGCAGATACCTGGGAAATGCTCAGGTAAACTTGACCCAGGGCAGTGCTGGCCCTGGAACACAGAGCCAAGGAGGCAGGGTGCTGACAGGCTGTGTGACAGGAGCACCTTCCAGATGAGATTGACTGACTGCAAGCCCAAGGTGGAGAGGCTGCAAGTCCTTCATCAGTGACCTTCTTCCACTGTTTAACAAGCGACTGTTGGCTCTGCTGTGTAGGTCTTTTATATTTCTTTGAATCATATTGCCTCAGAATCTTATAAAATATCAGCATTTCTCTTCCTCAGTCCCAGCTGAGGGGTCAATACCATTGTCCACTTGCTGCAAGTTTCACATACATAATTTCTGGTTTAAATTTAAGGATGGACACAGGGAAAGCACAACATTACTTTCTAGTAACTCCATTATATTTTATTTTCATGTTCTACTCAGGGAAGGATGGCATTTAAAGAAATTACTTCTGTAAATACCTTAGCACATACTTTCTTAATTGTTATACAGCCAAATTTTGACGAGATTAAGAACTAGATAATAAAAAGCATTGACATACCTAAATACCACAGATAGCTAATCTGTCTTGACTCTTACGACAATGTCAGCAGGCATCTCTAGATTTTCAGGAATCTGGCCATGTGGATAATAGTTTCAGATTCACAGTACCTGTCAAATATTTGTTGCATTCCTCTCCATCAAGAGTTTCATTTTTGATAAATAAAAAAGAAGTTTGATATGTTATGAGGGATCTAATTCATCTAGCATTGTAAAAGAATTGAAAAGAAAACAGAGGATGGGGAGAGAGACACCAAAAGATGCCAAGTCTTTAGTGAAATTATCAGGTCAAAACTAATGGCAGTGCTCCACGGACACCAGGAAAGTAAATTCAGGCCACGAACCACAATTGAAAGAGAATGAAAATGTATTACCTGGACAAGCCAGAATGCAGTGTAACTTCGGAGTGGATGCTCTGCAGTTGTATCAGTGTGTTGCGTTTCTGAGACAGAGCCAGGGCTGCACTTACCCAAGTGCTCCTTATGTGAGTGTGAGTTCAGTGTCATGCAACATTTACCAGCTGCAGAATAGAGCAGAGCTTGATCTCCAGATCCCACCTCAGCTGAGCCCTGTGCCTGTTCAGGGTCCTCGGCCCCTGCCTGGGTAAGCCCGTCTCGAGCTCTGCTTTAGCTCCTCTCTAACCCTGTCTCAGTAGGCAGTTCTGCAGATCTGGGAAATCTTGTAGGTTTAGGGGGGGGAAAAAAGGCATCTCATTTTGTCAGAGCCCTTCAACGAGAGCAATCTTTTAGCCACCCACACCCATCAGGTAACTGTGCTTGGTCAGACACCAAAACCAAAGTCAGGCTTGAGCCACCAGTGATTCCAGTGTAACCTTTTCCTGGGAGGGGCTTGGGGAAGCTCATGTGTTCTCAGACTGCATTAATGCCCACTTGGAATCTTTGCTGCCTCTTTCCCCCATTTCACCCACATGGGCACCTTCTCTGGTCTCTGTCTGACACAGGACCAGCAGCTCCACAAGCCCAGTGGCTTATGGGGACAGAACATCTCATTGCTCTTTGACTGACAGTCATTGGCATCCAAAATGCTCTTTCCGTGTTCCCAGCTGTTCCCCATCTGAGAAAACTAAGGAGGGGGAGGTGGAATAAGGGGTCAGGTGTGACTCTTGCTCAGGGTAAAAATGAATTATAGTTGTAAATCTTCAGAGAGCTCAGCAGCCACAGGTACATGAGTTGGAAGGAACAGAGCTGTTTGCACGAGTTGAGGAACCATCACTGAAATCAGTCTCACATAATTCAAGACAAAATGAAACTCACTGTTACTAAAGAAAGTAAAGTTTACATGATTTGTTAACTGATGGAGTCTGATTACAAAAAATAAACTATGAGATTTATAGGCTCCAAAAGAGGTCCCTAATCCATAAGACATGAAGTGCATCATAAGCTGAAGGCTACAGAGTCCATTTGTCCTCATGCTCTGTATAGTTGTTTTACAAACTGCTACTTTGTCCTCTCTTGATACCACGGATAACCTGATGCTTCCTGGTAGAGCTGGACAAATGCTCACCAGCTCAATAGGTACAAATGCACACAATTTTTCCACTTTGGAAGAGAAAAATTCCACTTTTTTTCTAATTTCTAACTACTAGACAGCTGGCCACAGTTAAAGCACCATCTAGTACTTTCTGGTTAGCCTTAGTTATACACATATTTGTAATTTTCAAAACCTAAACTGTAGTTACAGAGTTATGATGGTATCCATTACACTGGTGCTTTTTTATCATTGTTACAACTTCTGCCCAAAATGTTGGCAGTATTAGGACAATTCAGCAACATGTAATTTAACTTACCTCGCATCCAGAGCCGAGGGCGGTCCCTCTGATCAGGTTCGAGGTCACTGATGGGGCAGGTTCAGAGAAAGTTGTTCTTGCCTTTGGCAGGGTCAGCCTGATGAGGGAAACCCAAAAGCTCTTTTATCAGCTCTCCCACACCACTGTGTGACCTGCACCAGGTCTCCTTCATGGGAAAACCACACATGGCCAAACCAAAGAGCTTATCACCATCCTGGGAGTCAACCTGCCAGTGTGGTTCTGTGAGCACTGCCAGGCTGAGATACCCATTCCCTGTGGTGTGATACACCACAGCTGGGTTTATTCCTTCTCACTTATTGGTGTTTCATTTAAATGGGGCCAGTGACTCCATTTCCATCCAAGGAATACCAAAGCTAGGTGTAAGCATAAAGCAGCTGTGCTTTGCCCTCATGGGCCCTTAACCCCCATCAAACCCCTCCCTGCACCTCTGCACTGTGTGACTTCATCCTGCTCAGGCTGTGACCTGCTCCTGCCCACAGGGAGGAGCAGCCCCTACAGCCCAGTTGTCACTGATGGGGCAGAAGGGAGCGAGCCGTGTCTCCTGGCTCCCGTGGCCCAGTGCCAGATACGGAGTTACGGAGCCACTGGCAGATGTTCAGTGAAGATTCAGAGGGGCTGGATCATACACCCAGGGATCAGAATAGCATCAAACAGCCCAGATCCTCAATCCTCACTTTTTGTCATTACCAAGCACTATTTCAGCATGAGATGGGGCATAAACCTCCCCTGGTTGCTCACAGTTGCCTACATGACCTTTAGTTAACCTAGTTCAGCTATTAAGCTCATCTTGTTCCACCCCCTGCCATGGACAGGGACACATTTCACTAGACCAGGTTGCTCCAAGCCCCATCCAACCTGGCCTTGGACACTGTGGGGAATGAAAATATGGAGAGAGAGAAGAGAATCCAACAAAGGAAAAGGAGAGGGAAAACCCCCGATGAAACAGGATAAGGTGAAAACAAAAAAAGGGCTCATTATAGAACAGATAGTGCATTCTTAGCCACAGCAGGAATGAAAAGTCTTTCATCAGGTTCATGGTTTGGAGGCTCAGAGAGTGTACTTTATGTTTCTCTTGCCTTGGAGCAGCAATTCCCATTTCCAGGCAGCCTCACACCTCCTGCGCTCACAGCGGGCAGTGGGAACACAGCATTGGGAAAGCAGTGATGTGGGAAGGGCTCTGGCATTCCCTGACACCTGTTCCCATCAGACCAGAGGGGAATTGCAGGAATGGGAGTCCTCCACGTCCTCCACATCTGCAGGGAGCCCCTGTGGGATGGGCAGGAGCTGAGGACACAGAGGGCAGGATGGAAGCCTCAGCCAAATTTGGGATACCAAGATATAAATCACATTCTGGTCCCTTTCTCTTTCCCTATGGGAAATGGAATTCCTTAACCCATGGCTAGGCACGTGCTGGCCAACCTGAAGGGGCTTCAGCCTTGGCCAAGAGAGAACAATTAAATGCTCTTTTTGAGGACGACTGCAAACCTTTGAAATGAGCACCCCTGGGAGACCTCAGCTGACATCTTTCAAAGAGCCAGCAAAAATCCCAGCTTAGGGAAAATAAGGATTTTTTTATATTGTTGTTACTTTTAGAGATAATGCCTTTTCCATAAATCAAAAAGGATATGTTTAATTAGTTGTCATAGAATCATAGAACATTCTGAGCTGGAAGGGACCCACGGGGATCCCTGAAGTCCAGCTCCTGGCCCTGCACAGGCCAGCCCAGCAATCCCACCCTGTCCCTGAGAGCTTTCTCATTGCTCCTTGAGCTCTGGGTGTCAAATGTACTAAAAGGCAAAAGGGAAGCAGCAGCCACAATTTTCCTATGCAATGTGAATTAACACCACCACAGAATACAGAAAAGTCATGTGTCAGCATCCCTGTAAAGGCCTTTTCTGGAATACTAAATCCAAGCTGCTGAAACACTGTGAGGTCACTCACAGACCTGTCCCTCAGAGCCCACGCTCCTGTTTGCTGCCACAGCTGGCACCTGCTATTTCCTGCATCAAAACATCTACACAAACAGACCAAAGATACAAGTCCTTATTTAAAAAGGGAGCAGGATCACACTGACCTTCCAGCTCATCCCATTCCACCCCCTGCCATGGGCAGGGACACCTTCCACTAGCCCAGGGTGCTCCAAGCCTCGTCCAACCTGGCCTTGGACACTTCCAAGGATGGGGCAGCCACAGCTGCTCTGGGCAACCTGTGCCATGCCAGTAATGACTGAGGAGGACTGGTGTGAGTGGGGAATGTGTATAGAATGGATTTGCTTACGGGAGCTGTATCACACAATTTCCCTGGGAAGCAGAAACCATGGCATACTTCAGAGTATTTCCCATCTGACTTTCTTTATTTCCTCATATCTTAACAAACATAACAAACTGAAACATGGAGCTATTTCTTTTCCGTTCTGTAATAAAAAAACATACGTTATTTTGATGCCCAGAAAATACATTAAACATTCATTTATTTGTGAGATTTTCATTATATTATTACATATGCCTTGGTTTGGTACATAGGAAATGTACAGTTCAACATGCTAATTTTCTTACCAATTTTATAAAGGCATGGAGCTTTATACCAGACAGGTGAGAGTTTCCCATGTATTGCTGAATACAGGTGACACTGGAATTCAAGTAATATGCCTTATCCTTGTGACAGAGTAATTTCAAAGAGAGGTGCTTGTTTAATCAGAATCAAACATAATCTTACAATCAAATAATAAGTACAAAAAAAGGGAGGGTTTTTTTTTTTTAATATGTGCAATAGCTTGTTCGTTTCCTACTATTTCTAATTCCTTTTGCACTTCATCTTGTACCTGCAGCTGAATGGCACTTCTTAAATATCCAGGCTGAACTTTTCAGGAATTATTAGCAATTCTAAGAGCCTGTTCAGAGTTATCCTATGGGGGCCCAAACCCAAGTATTTAGCACTCTCTGACAATATGAATCCCTTAAGGTAGGTAATATTGAGGTGAAATTATTAATCCTTACCCAACTGCTTCCATCCAGAGATAGCATATATTCATCCCAATGAACTCTGACATCTCTTTTGTTCCACAGCCTCAGTCACTCAGATTATCTGGCCAAGGAGCAATAGTTGAGATCTGCCTAAACATTTAGAAAAGTTTCAAATTTCACTAGGCAGCCGAGCATTTTTACACACTACTTATTTATACAGACAAACTACATCAGGCTCACTTAATCCGCTCCACCCTATGTCTAACCAACATAATAGCTCGCTATTTGTCTTAAACTATAAACCAAATATTTAAAAACAAAACAAACAAAGAACACTATTGGGTTTTACAAACAAGTATATGACATAATAGCTTGTGGTAATGCTGCAGGCTGAAGCCCCCCTCAGAACCAGTACTCGGACACGAAGATGTGGACGTTGACGATGTTCCGGTGGGACACCACCCCCCCCATCACGTAGTTCATCTCCAGCTTCAGGATGGCATGGAAGGGTCCAACAATGGGCCTCACCTGGCGAACTACACCTGTGGGGACAGGAATAGGTTGGTGGGATTAACAGGAGAATCAGCCAGGTCTGGATGAGCTACGCTGCCCTTTCTGTTCAGCGCAGCCCAGGGAATGGCATTTTATATATTGGGTCTTGCAATAAAGCTGGCAAAATGAGAATAAAATACAACTTTCATATTGAAATACCTTGGAGAGGATATAGAATTAGCACTAAAATGCTGCTAAGGGCAGAAAACCCCCTATATATTCTGAAATTAGCAATATTTTTTTTACCTTTTATTCAGAGACATAAATTCAATAAGCAGGCTGCGACACTGCTTTCCCACAGGAGATTTCCCTGGATAAACCAGCACGCACACTGCCCCAAGGTGTCCACAAGCACACCTGGGGATGGCATACCACTCCTGGGTCTGTGTTGAAAACTTCATTTCATTTGGGACAGCAGAAATCATTCTGGAGAGCAGCCCCTTTCCAGCACCCTCCAGGCAGGGACTGAAGCTGAAATCACGCTCCTGGACTCTGGGCAGAGTGTGGGACAGGACCTTGGGGAGGCACATTTGGGCCACAAGGTGTTATCAGTACCTTGACATGATGTGGCTGAACAGGACAGGGTTACAGCTACAGACCTACACAAGGAAGTCAACACAAGCTCTGCCGTTGACTCCAAAGGCTCCAGGTCAGGTCCTAAACATGTTCTCACTTCACATTCATTCCCTAGGCCTGGTATTACAGAGCAGGCAGCTCCCAGCTGCTCCCAGCTGGAAGGATTTACCCAAATGTCCGGACCACAGGAAGCCAAGGGCAGCAGGCACTGGGAGCCCCTCCTCAGATAGCAGACTGAGCTGACAGGTCCTTTGGTTCAGAAGGAAAGACAGAGTGTAATGAAGAAGGTTCTCCTCCAGCCTTGTGTGCTGGGGGTCATGTTTCACAGGCAGGCAGCACACCAGTGCCATCCCAGAGTCCCAGCCGAGCTCCTGCAGCCATTCCCTATGAGCACACTGGCCTGAGATCTGATGGGAGACAGGAACATTTGCTTATGCAGGTTGTCAGCACCTTTTGCTAAGGCAGGGATGACATTACAGCTTTGCCCTGTTCAAACACTAACTAATATCTTCAGCATGCAGGGAAATTGCAAACTTTTCACCACAGTCACTTTCCTTGCCATATTTGATGAATACACTTTTTAAGCATCCTTCCCCCTACAATTTATATGTACATACATTTATATATATTTATATGTTTGGGGTTTTTTTTAACTTTCTTGGCTACTCTCCTGCACCTTATAAAAATGACTGGGCTTGGCAGATGATGTATTGAAACAGAAAAACCTTGCTAAAATTGCCCTCCCTTTAGGGTCACATTGAAAGCATTTTGCTAACAACCCATCCCATTATTGCAGGCCCTGCTCTGACTGACAACCACGGAAACACACGGCGTTGGGATCACTCAGTGCTGGCAGGCTGGAACCCACCCTGGGAGCAGCTCCTGCTGTCATCATCAAGCCCTGAGAGCAAAGGCTCCTGGTTCCATTTAGCAATGGTTTTACAGCATTCTACACTCTCTTGCCCTGCTCTAGTAGAGTCTACTCTGGTCTGGAGGAGAGATTGCCAGTGGTGTCTTTTCTGCTGTGCTATGGCATCCCTTCACACATCACTGCATCCAAAGCCATTAGTAACTGTCTCCATCCTGTTTGGCTGCATCCTGCTAACAGGCAGGAAAAAAGGGAGTGATGGGCAAGCCCTGCCATCTGTGTGGCAGTGCCTTTCCACCCAGTTTCAAAATCAAGCCTATAAAATGGTTAGGAAGTGAATGCCATGCATGTTTACAGCTCTGCTGAAGCTGAAACAGAGCAAATGGACAGAAACACAACACTACTACAACATTAAATAAAATAAAATAAAAAAAACAAACAAAAACTCCAGCTTGTTGTGCCAATGTCCTGTCCTAAATGGTCCTGAAATGACCACCCTGCAGGAACTGTTTCAGTCCTCTCCCATTAAATGAACAGGATGATCCAGCAGGTGGGTTTGTGCTACAGCAGGTGTGTAAGGATGCAGTCATTTGGAATGGGCAGAAGGAAAAAAAAGGAGTTAGGGGAAAACCTTGAAATGTTCTACTGGACAAAAGCATGAGAGGTTTGCAGCTCTTGGCAGATTCACTCCTCGAGAGCTTCACATTTTTGTTTTGTGACAAGTGCTAAAATTGGAAACCTGAGTATTTGTCTCCACCAAACTCAAGGACAAATGCGAGTGGGAACTGTGCAACAGCAAAGCTACTCGGAGCCTGAAATCGGGCTACATGCTTATCCAATTCCCAGTGATCCTGTCACAGTGCTCCCAGGACTTGCCTCAGAAATGCTGTGTAAGGTCACCTTCCAGAAGGTGTTGCTGCCATTTGGTGCTGCCTGTGTGTGATTCTCTGCTGTCTCATGCCTTTCACGGGAGGTACAAGGGAGGGACAGCTCTGCCAGACCCAAACAAGGCCAGCAGTGCCAAACAGAAATCCAGAGAAAAAGCTTGAGATCCAGGCACGGTCCCTATAATTCACACACATGGCTCAATGAAATAAGTCAATATCCAAAAGTATTTAGCCCAGGACACATCTGAAGGAGCCACATGTAATAATTCTGGGTGTTTTCAAGCACCATGGATTTAGGAGACTATTTGCATCAACATGCTGTTTCACTCTCCCTTTTGGCAGACTGGTGGGTCCAGATTGGTGGTCTGGCATCTGTCACAATTTATAGCTGAATATTAAGTATAAAAACATACCTTACAATAACAGGAAGGTTACAATTTTTAGATGCACTGAAAAGTCAGGAAATGCAGAAATTAAGTTGCTGCTTTTTGGTATCTTTTTTACCAGTCTAAATCCAAAGTAGCTGGATTGAGCCACTCAGATTTGACATGGGGATAACTGCAGATTGGGAATCAGTCCTGGATGAATGCAGCAGTGTCCACTGTCCTGTGAGTTGCTCCCTGTAAGATGTCAGGAGCACAATGGTGCTGCTCAGTAAATGACCTGAAAACAGAGGCTTCTCACATAGCAACACTTGGTCCTCTTGGGGACCAAAACTTCAGGCTCTAGAGTTGGCAAATGGGGTGAGTTTATTTAAGGAAGTTCACCCCAATCTCTTCCCAAGAAAATTACTTTCAGCTAGGTAAGCATTTTGCACCAAAAAACAAACAAACAAAAACCAATAAACCAACAACAACAACAAAAAAAACAAACCCAAAACCCACAGGAGAAAATGTGTCAATATTTGGACAGGGAGAATCACTGATAATAAACGAACATGGAGGTTCCCACTGCTGCTGAATCCCATGTGTTGGGCATCCTTGAGCACCTACAGGCACATCTGTGGCAGCAATTGCTGGTGCCTTGTTGATGTGCTGCTGGTGCTGCTCCTTCTTTTTGGTTCGTAACCTGTGACCCAAGCACAGGCTCAATCTGCAGAGAATGCCCCATGTCACAGGCCAGGAAAAGGCCTTCCATCAGCTCACCTGTGTTTGGATTTGCTGTTTTGTTAATGGACCAGAGATGTCATTACGCATCCCAAATCTGCTTGGCTATCTTCATGGTTTGTTGACCTCTTTAGAAAGCAATGATAAGACTTATTTTTTCCTGCACACTTTGCCCATATTGTAAACAGGATCTGTGGCCATCCTTTCCACCTGCTGATCTGTGTAAGCAAACAGCCTTGGAGTGAGAGGCAAGTTTTTGGATGTCACAGTGATAGTCTGACCATGGCCCATAACTTCTAAAGCTCTGTAATTAATACACTGAGCTGTTCTCTTGTCCTGTTTCTTCTATCATGTTTCATATTTTAGTTTTGTATAAGGCAAAAGTATGTCACCCTGTGTAGCGAGGACAATAACCTAAATAATATATAATACTTACTTTCCAATGCTTTTAGTGAAGGAATTTTTCCTAATATCCAATCTAAATCTCCCCTGGTGCCACTTGAGGTCAGTTCTTCTCCTACTGTCCCTTGTTCCCTGGGAGCAGAGCCCGACCTCCCCCCGGCTCCCACCTCCTGTCAGGGAGTTGCAGAACCAGAAGGTCCCCCCGAGCCTCCTTTTCTCCAGGCTGAGCCCCCCCAGCTCCCTCAGCTGCTCCTCACCAAACTTGTTCTCTAAATGCCACAGGTATTCCTTGGCTTGTCTATGCCTCTTTAAGATATCATTACATTTCTCTGCTTTGAAATATGTGAGACCCTCAGGCAGTTCACCTCTGTGTCTGGTTTCTGCTTGTACTTCTGCATGAGGCAGCTGATTTGCTGTGGAGCTCCATCTCCAGCTGAGGGGAGGCACTGCTGTTGTGTTACCACCTTAACCTGTTCTGGGGTACAAGACCCTACCTTACCATGAATTTACATTTTACCTCCAGAAATCCAGGCTCCTAGTTCTGACTTCTGTGCTAAGCTCACTGCCCAGTATGCTGAAGCACTTGCAAAACTCTGAAATGTTTTGGTGGGTTTTTTTGTTGTGGTTTTTTTTTTTTTTTTTTTTTTAAACCAAACAACTTTCTTCCTTTTTTTCACTGCTAACCACAAAACTGCTGCAGTTACACTCTCAGGGGACCTGGCTCGTGGTGTTCCTCACACTCCTGGCTGAACACTGCATTGGCATTTTCTCTAGAGAAAGTTCCTCCAACAGGGACCTCTATAGTTTGCAGAAAGCAAAGCAGAACCAAAGCACTGATTTTCACACTGCCACAAGAAAAGGCTGGTTCACCTTGGTTACATTTTCTGTTCCAGAGCTGAAGCTCACAGGGTTTTCCACAGGGACTGATTCTAAGAGTCCAGTCAAATATTTAAATCTGTATCATCATTAAGAGCACAGAACAGACATAAGTTGCACCCATTCTTCGAAAAGAGAGCCTCAGAGAACCCGAACTTTTAAGGATTCCCAAAAAAATCAATCAGAGAAGTGTCACTGGAGCATGTGAGGAATCAAGGGCTGCCAGGGCCTGGAAGAGAGGACCTGCTGCACTGAACTCCTTTTGCCTTACCTGC